TCTTTCTACCGTCAAGATCACCTCCCAAGTCTGCATCAGAAAACCCCTGTAAAATGAGATTACTTCTCTTGAAAGACAAATGCATCTTTGAAGTGCCTTTCAAATATCTGAATATCCACTTCACTCCTTCCCAATGCTCCTTTCCGGGATTTGATAGAAATCTGCTCACAACTCCCACTGCATGTGCTATGTCTGGTCTGGTGCAAACCATAGCATACATCAAGCTTCCTACTGCAGATGCATATGGCACTTTAGACATGTGACTTTCTTCTTCTTCGTTTGAGAAGATTGCCTCTTTGAAAACTTTAAGTGAGTTCCCAAAGGTGTATTCCTGGTTTTAGCATTCCCAACATTGAATCTGCTAAGCAATTTTTCTATATATTTTTCTTGAGATAAGTTCAAAATACCTTTATCTCTATCTCAGGAGATTCTCATACCAAGAATTTGCTTGGCTGGACCAAGATCCTTCATTTCAAAGCTCTTCGACAATTGTTTCTTCAACTTGTCAATTTCGCCATATTAGCTCCAACAATCAACATGTCGTCAACATATAAGGCAAGAATGATATAGCTATCAACATATTTCTTCACATAACAACAGTGATCTTCTTCACATCTGCGAAATCTCGAGTTTCTCATAAACTCATTAAACTTCTTGTACCATTGTCTCGGCGCTTGTTTTAATCCGTACAAACTTTTATGAAGCTTGCATACAAGATTTTCTCCGCCTTGTACTTCAAAACCTTTTGGCTGTGTCATAAAAATTTCCTCTTCAAGATCCCCATGTAAGAATGCGGTTTTGACATCTAACTGCTCCAAATGAAGATTTTCTGCAGCTACTATACTCAAGATAACTCGATGGTAGTCATCTTGACAACAGGAGAGAAAATTTCCGTGAAGTCAATTCCTTGTCTTTGTTGGAACCCTTTCACTACGAGTCTAGCCTTATATCTTTTGCCGCCATCCGGTTCTTCTTTCAACCTATAGACCCACCTGTTTTGCAAAACTTTCTTTCCTTCCGGTAGCTTGGTTAAAGACCATGTTTTATTCTTCCGAAGGGACTTTATCTCATCTTCCATTGCTAGCTCCCACTTAATAGATTCATCTCCTCGCATAGCCTCGACGAAATGCTCCGGCTCACCAGACATCGATCAACAACAAATAATGCAATGAAGGGGAATACCTTTGTGGTGCTACAATTGTTCTGCTAGATCTTCTAACCAAGATTTCAGGAGTTGCTGACTCTACTATTTGTTCGAGTTCCGTCTCGAGCTCGACATAGGCTCTACTTGTATATTCCGCCTTCGGTTGACTACATCACTTTCTCGAAATTTCTTCTAATGATACTTGCTCTAGTCTGTTTATTTACATTTGCGAGTTCGCAATCTCGTCTCTATAGAACATGTTTTCATTAAAAGTAACATTTCTACTTCGATAATTTTCTTGTTTTGGTCATCCCAAAACCTGTAGCCAAACATGTCGGATCCATAACCAATGAAATAACAACGTTTTGCCTTAGGGTCCAATTTATCTCTACTATTAGAGTCTAACATAACATATGAAGCACAACCAAAAACTTTCGGATGTGAAAGATTTACCTCTTTCCGAGACCATACTTCTTCGGGTAACTTATAGTCTAAAGGAACCGATGGTCCTCTCGTTTATGAGATAGGTTGCTTGTGTTTATTGCATCTGCCCAAAATACCTTGGGTAATCCTGATCTGGATTCTCATACATCTTGCTCTCTCATTCAAGGTTCTGTTCATTCTTTCGTCACACCGTTTTGTTCGGTGTTCCTGGAACTGTCTTGATCATTCCGATCCCATTCTCTCGAACAAAACTCCTTGAATTGACTACTGTCATATTCTCCACCATTATCGGACTTCAAACATTTGACCTTTAAACCTGTTTGAGTCTCAACCTCCTTTTTCCACCTTTTAAACACAGAAAACACATCGATTTATTTTTAAGAAAATAAACCCATACCTTTCTTGTAGAGTCATCAATGAAGGTTACATAATATTGTGAACCTCCAAGGGATTTCACTGAAGCCGGCCCCCAAACATCTGTATGCACTAGTTCTAGTCTTTCAACTTTAGACGACTTACTTGTTTTTGAGAAGCTAACCTTTTTCTCGCTTTCCAAAGATACAATGTTCGCAAGGTCCAACGTCAACATGCTTCACGTTAGGTATTTTACCTTTTGATATCATGAGCTTCATTCCTTTCTCACTCATATGCCCAAGCCTCCGATGCCATAAGGAGGAATTGTTGCCAACTTCGCAATCGATATCATATCCTCATCTCGCAATCATGTAGAGAGATCCTTGCTTCTTTCCACGAGCAACAACAAGATTACCTTTCATTACCTTCCAATGTCCATCTCCAAAAGTGGTGTAATGTCCCTCATCATCCAACTGCCCTATAGATATTAAGTTTCTCTTTAAGGTTGGAATATGTCCGACATTATTCAAAGTCCACACGTTTCCATTAGAGGTTCCGATGTTAATATCACCTCTTCCTATGATATCAAGAGATTTTCCATCTGCAAGGTAGACCTTCCCAAACTTTCTAGAAACATAGTTAGATAATAGTTCTAAGGAAGGTGTAGTATGAAATGACGCACCTGAGTCCATAATCCATGAGTCAATAGAATTATCTAAACTACATAATAGTGCATCTTCAACTTCATCGATTCTTGCATTTGCTCGATTGATCATCATCTTGCTTCTTGTTGTTGTTGTTGTCCTTCTTTGGAGCCCTACACTCGATTTGAAAAGTGGCCCTTTTTCGACAATTCCAACAAGTGATATCATTCCGGACTTTTGCTTGTGATCTCCCTCCGGATTTTGATCTCGCCTCGGCCTTGATTACGACCTTTCCGGCGACTTCTTCCTCTAGTTTCGAGTACTCAATGCTTGAACTCGAATTAGAAGCTGAAAGATTCTATCGAATTTTTTCGCGAACATCTTCGCTTAAGATCAAGTCACGGATGTTATCAAGCTTCAACTTGTTATTGCTTGCGAATTACTTACTGCGATAGCATGATTGCACCCCAACTTTCCGGTAGAGATGATAATAAAATTAATGCTTTCACCTCATCATCAAATATTATCTCGCACTGATGTCAACTGCGCAATAATTGCATTAAATTCACTAATATGATTAGTAACCAGAGTTACCTTCACCCATTTTGAGGTTGACTAGCCTGCGAATCAAATGCACTTTATTGGCTGCAGAGGGCTTCTCATACATATTTGACAACGCCCGCATCAAATCTATGGTTGTCTTTTCGTTCATGATGTTGAACGCAACATTCTTGGCTAATGTCAGCCGGATCACACCAAGCGTCTGCCGATCTAACAACTCCCATTCCGATCGCTCCATGTCGGTTGGCTTACTGCCTGTCAAGGGTAGATACAACTTCTTCCGATACGAGATAATCTTCCATCTGCATCTTCCGGAACCCGAAGTCACCGCCATCGAACTTCTCGATCCTCACCTTTCCTTCTTCCAATGCCATTGCTCTCATCGCTTTCGAAGAAAGCTCCCACTGCTTCTCTAAGCTGAGATTCCCAAGAAAAAAGACCAAATCTTTTCGATGTGGAAGATCGAGACAAAGCTGCAACCACAGAGCATACTAAGAAAATTGGCTCTTGATACCAATTGTTAGGAACAAGACAATAATAAAGGAAAGAATGAAGGAGAGAAAAATAAACGACACAAGAATTTTAACGTGGTTCGGCTAAAATATGTATGCCTACGTCCACGACTACACTAGGAAGTATTTTTATTTCTGTGTATATCTCAAACTTTACATAGGGTTGCTTATATAACAAAATAGAGAACCTCATCTCACAATCCTAATCGATGTGGGACTAAATCAAGCACCATAATACTAACATTATTATATCATGATATTAATTCTTACCAGTCCTCTCACTAATTTAGCTGTTTTTGGTTCTACTTAAATCAAACACCTTGTATTCAACTTGCAGCTATTATTCTTGGATAAAAGGTAGCTGTTTGTGTAGCTTTGCATGCACTTAGGTTTAAAACTATGAAGCGTTTTAACATGGATTTATAAGAAGTTTGATTCAGCAATCTGCACGAGTGAGGAGGGAAAGGGTAAAGATACGTGGATTCATGAACATCCGTCACCTCCCACTAATCTTTTTCACTGGGGCCCTCATGTTCCTCGCCATTTACACTGTTTACTTTTGTTGCTGGAACTACGTACTTCGCATCATACATACAAGTGTATTACTTAATTAATGTATCTGTGAACTGGCTTATATGGTACTTATTAGTGTGCTATTACAAAAGATCTCCATTTTATAATACATTTCTTTATATCTTTTTTATCTTAATTTATTGAAAATATCAAATACCTAATGGAAAAAACAATATTTTTATCAATGTTTATCACATTATAACACTTTTATACTTTTATTTTTATCTGTCACATACAATATTTACATTTTTATTTTTATTGTTATCTGTTGTTCTCTCTTTAGGTATCATTTCGAAGAGATGTTTTCTAAATTTTGTCTTCTTTTTTTTTCTTTTAGTTGTATTATTTTTTACATTTGTCGTTTTTTCACTCTTGGAGTGCACATTTATCTATTAGATAAGTTTGAACTAGTTATAATTCTAATTAAGGTTAATTGGAAAGGAATGAGAAGATTAGAACATATGTATTGGAGCTTCGAAAAATCTCCACGTTTGCCTGTCATAAACGAACATTCTGCCGGTAATAGTTAAACAAAGAACGTACAATCCTGGCAGATCATGGACATTGACTCATCTCATGGAATACAAATTACTTCTCCGTTATGTTTACAGAGAGAGATAGAAATTTAAACCAAAACAAAAAAACAAATGAGATGACAGGAGCATCGTTACAATCTGATATGAATACCAAGACACAATGACAACATTAGGTGATGAGATCTGAGAAACCATCAATAGTTTCATAGATTGACATACTGAAAAGATTGCATTAATTTTCTTGTTCAAACTCAGAGCCTGGTTGATCATCGTCCTGATCAAGGTTCATGCAGTCATTTTTATAAGCCGTGTGTCCATATCCAAATGCCTTGATATGATCTTTAAGAGATCTTTTGTGCTTAAAATCAGACCCACAAGAACAATACCAGCGTTTTCCACAGTTCTTCTCATGAGTTCTCCAATCACCCCTCACAGCAAATGTTTTGCAACATTTTCTGCACACGAAAGGCTTTGTCCCATGCTTTCTCTTGTAATGTGTTTGGAGGGTTCTGAAGTCTTTGAGTGGTTTTGCTCTCGGATGGTCGATGTTGTTCTTGCATCCGGGAGCACAGCAATAGCAAGGGAGTCTTAGCATAGCTGTTGGCTGTGTTCCCCTTAGAGACTCTGGTCCCTTTCTGTATTGAGATCCATGCCCCCACATATGCATCTGAAAATTTTTGCACCAATATTATTGTCATGTAATAAGAGCAAAAGTAATCATATGGAAAGGTTTTATATACTTTATCAATATCAGTTTTCTCTGTGAGAAAAAAAGCTTGAAACTAGGTCTTTAATTTGTTGTATGTAGTTATGTAAATTTTGAAGTATGCCTTACTCTACCATGTGGGCCAATTTTTCCAGTGGGAATTTGGAGAAAGGAGGTTTGTACAATTGGAAAAATCAAATAACATGTTAAAGTTTAACTATGATCAATTACAATTTAATTTTTATTTAAAATTCATTAAATTAGGAAATATTTATTAAAAAAGAAAAATGTATACTCTCTTTTCTCTCTTTACAAAGCTTTAACACAGCAACATGCTAGCTAGGAACTGCTTCCTTTTGAACAAGTTTTAATACTTGTTCATCAACCACGCTCTGTGTGATTAAAGAAATAGGCGCCAGTGTAGGGCATCCTGTTAAAGAAAAAGTTCGGGAGCCCAAGAAGAGAATATTTGTACAGTTAATTATATTTATATTCATTTTCGTGAAACTCATTTGATGTTGTTTCAATTTATGTCTCCCTTTGTCGGTGTGTTTTTGTTTTTTGGTATGCTAATTACCTTAATTAACTTATCCTAGAGAGAGAGAAACAAAACTTGAAGGTGCAAAAAGGGATATAATTGAGCCATATATTGGGATACTGATCTTCCTAGACGAAGTGAGAGATGTCATTCTTCTTAACAGAAAAAAGGGGTGATAGATCGAGTAGTTTGAAGCTCAAATAAGAAGAAAATAAGTGTAATATATAATGTTAACTGGGAAAAACCCTAAATTATAATGCATACACACACTTGGACAAAGACAAAGCTCCCTCCTTTGACAAATATTCCAGGTGAAAACTTGAAATCATACTATACATAGAATTAAGAAGATTCATTCTTTTGGGACAAATTTTCTGAAAACGAGATCTGTGGAAGTAGGGGTATAGGAGAGTATGAAAACAGGAAAAAGCTGGGAAAAGAAAAGATATTCTCTTTCTTTCTATATATAATTCTATTCACACTTAATTATACTGTCTGGATTATTTTATTATTCGCCTCGATCGAGGTAATTGATCATCAAAATGACCAAAGGTAACAAACCTGCATGTTGTTGTATCTGTTGAACGTCTTGAAACAAAGAGGGCATGCGAACTGTGTTGGGCCAATCAGAATCTGAGCAGAAGTAGGGATCCAATATTGTCCTCGGTTAATTCTATTTGACAGAAGCCCCGAAGCATCAATGGTTTTTTCTTCTTTGTCAGAAACCTCTGCTGAGTATAGGCTTGAGGCTAAATCAGCAGATGCACTAGTGCTTGAAAGCCCTAAGTGTAAAGCCACAGTCACAGCATCCTCTTCATCCAAGCACCTGGATGATGATGATGCACTTAGCTCTTTCTTTTTCTTGTCCACTTCCATGGCACTGAATGAAGATTCAAGATCTTCTTCTTCTTCTTCTTCTTCTTGTCCTTCTTCTTCTACTGCATGTCTTAGATGAAGGAAGTGGAGGGCTTTTGTTTGAGAAGGAGAGGCTTGGAACTGAGTGGAAGATATGGCACTTGTGTAGGAATGATAATTGGAAGGAAAATAGAATGGTGGATTGATGGGAGGAGTAGATGAAGAAGGAGAAGAGAGAAGACATGGTGAATTGAGGTCCAACCAAAAGTTAAGGTCATTGGATCTGTAGGAATTGGTCATGATGAGGGGTGGAAAGAAAAGGGTATAAGATCAGCTATAGAAAGGGTTAGGATAATAATTATAGACAACTGAGTGCACAGAAAGGAAATAAAGGGTAGGGGTAGTGGAGGGAGGGTAAAGGTGTGCAGAAGATAGTTTTAGATTTTCACAAGCAAAATAGCATCAACCAATGAGTTAGGTAAAGGCTTGAAGGATGTGAAGAAATTAATTCAACGTTGGTAAAGCAAGACCAATAAAGTGGAGGAAGACAATAAATCACTTGGGAAAAGGTTGAGTAGATTCAATATAAAATTTCATGGAAATTATGGTTTTGATTTTAATTAAAAATATGCACTTGTCATTTTTCATAATGATGCTTTTTTATTTATTTATTTAATGAACGAGTGACGAGTGTTATTTGCTATGTCTTGTGTCACTATTTATTTAAAAAACCCATAAATTAAAATATTTTAAATTATAATTATCACTATAATTCTTCTTCACTATTTTAGAAAATATCACCAGTCAGGTAAGGGTGGAAATTAACGAGACAAAGTCATTCATCGATGTTGAAGTCTTGTAGACTATTTGTCATACAACCACAATCTTGTTCCATTCACACAGGGCAGAAACTATACCTTTTAGCCCCATTGGCTTCTTGAAAACAGTCATTGTTTTAAATTTATTAAAGAAAATTATAACGAAAAAACATGATTTTATCATGAATTGAAAGAAGTACCATCACTCGAATATGTAACCAATAGAAAGAAGTGTTGGTAAGTAGTATTTGAAAGGAAAACACACTATGTTTGTTGAAGATGCGGAATTATGATTTTATGTAATCTCGGGAACAAGTAGTTTATTGGACTTGAAGCAGCAATTGCTTTGGCTTGCACGCTGTGGACGACTAGGCTCCTCAAAGCACACAGATTGTGTCGGTGTCTCATACTGGCATGCAAATGTTGACTGTTCCATCCACATGTCTGCTTCCTTGTTCACAACACTTCAAATTAGTATTACTGTATTAAATTTCAACTACACAGGCAACTAAACTATTGGTTTTAAATTTTATGCATGGACCAAGAAAATATTTTGTCAGAAGAGTCAGTTGTAGTAGATGTTGTTATGAGTCTCAATTTTAATCTGCCTGTTGTAGATTGTTTTGGATAGTTTTCCATTGGAAGGGTGTGAGAGCAGAAAGTCTCTTCCTTCCTTCAGTTATCTCCTATCCAATTTCTCCATCAAACAATAGAATCTTCATAGGACACACAAGAAAATAATATAAAAAAAAATTGAACATTCTTTTTAATCTTAAATTTTTTACTCATTTAAACTTTCAATGCTCATTAACTTGTAGCAGTGCTAACGGAAGAGCTTCTTCAATTGTATAGCCCATTCTTCCATTGTATAATTGCATATAATAATTTTATTAGAAATTGAGAAATTTATAGTTTAACTCTCTAAAAATAAATGTTAACGGGTTAATATTCTAACATTAATACTACAATTATCTTTTATGATAATTTTTTTAAAATATCTAACTTAATTAATCCTATACTACTTAAATTTATACTTTACTTATTATATATATATATATATATATATATATATATATATATTTATTTGATATGATATTTCAGCAAATGTATAAGAAGAGAAAAAAATTGAAGTTATATTATAACACAAGTGTTAAAATCATATTATGATTTATTTTAAAAATTGAAAAAAAAAACAATTAATGAAATTGCGATTGATAGCATGATTTTTTTTCATTTAATACAATTTAGTAAAATTACTCATTTTCATAATTTAAAAAGAAAATTCATATCCATAATTAAAAAAAATGCACCATTAAGGACAAAAAATTGTTTCTACAAATGTCATTAATGAATAAGAGTGACTTCTTATTATTTATATATACTACTGCAACAGTGCTAATATTTAGTAAATAATTACTGTTGGTTAAAAAATCATAAATATAGTCAATTTAATCTTTAAATTACAAAAGTAATTATTAACTCTTCAAATTATTCAACAATACCATTAGCTCTTATATGTATAATTTTAAACATTAAACTTACTTTCATCTTGTAATATCAAAGATTGAAATTATCATAATTTCATCATTCTTATAGATCAAATATGTTTAAATGTTAAGACTAGATTGAGATGTACTTATTTCTAGAATTAATTTGGTTTCTTGTTTATTTAAAACTATATTTAAATGACTTGAAGAATATAACAAAGCCTAATGCAGTAACATAGGTGTTTTTGGTGGTATTTAAGAATTTAAATTATGAAATAATCTCTCAAAAACATATATTGCTATTTTAAAAGAAGGAATATAAACTATACTTGAAATGATTTCCACCCACTATTACTGGGCGGGCCGAAGGGTGTTATATTCTGGGCTTCAACGCTCGGCCCATCTAACATGACTATTTGTGGATTGGGTTACACATATACAGTTAAGGACTATTTATTCTTGTACCCATTAATTGCTTAAACTACCTTTTACTCATTTTGAAATGGTTATTTTTAAATTAAAAAATAAATATTGAAAAAGTCATTCTAAAATAATTAGTATTATAAATAAATTTACCTAAAGCATAATCACTCCTTTCCTATACTTTAATTTAACTTATTTTTATTTAAAAATAAAATCATTATATTGAATTCGTGGAAGATATAATTTTTAGTGCAGTTCAGATCATTTGTGATCAAGTATAAATGTAATATTATATATAAATTTGTATTTTTTAAGTATAACACATTAAACTATTTATATTTAGTTAAATATTTTATCTGTTGTATTATTATAAATAGGATCTATACTTTTTGGTTTCTATTATTATAATTATGTATTTTTTTTAATTTTAGTCTAGTTAGTTTGCTATGGATCTTTTAATAAATTTTGTTAATACGGCTTAGCAAGGAGAATATGGCTATTGATACAACATTTTAGCATATATTATAATTTGGTGACCACGGTTTAATTTTGATTAAATGATTATCTAAATTAAATATAATTTGGCTTGATATAATTTAAACTTGATACAAATTAAATTAATATTTACAGTCAATTTTAAAAATTATACATATTTTTTGAAAAATATTAGTAAAAATTTTATTAGAAAAATTAATCAAATAAAAATATATTATTTAAATAATATTTTAATTATTTTATAATAATAAATGAATTATATATATATTATAATAATTTTTTTAATAGTAATGAAAATTTATTTATATATTTCCACAAGTAAATCTAATTTTTATTACTATCACTAATTCATATATATATATATATATATATATATATATATATATATATTAATTAATGAGTAAATTAAATAACATCAATATTTCTATCAAAATATAAGTCAGATTAAAATTTATTTTTAAGAATTATTTGTAATTACATAATTTGGGCTAAAGTGAGGGCAAAATTAATTCCATCAAAGACAACCACGATTACTTAAATTTCTTTTCGTCCAATTAGAGTTATAAAACAAATAAAAATAACCAAGTCTATTTTCTATTTTCTCTTCAAATTTTCAGTAGTAGCAAAACAAGAGTAAAAGAATATTTCTTCAATTTAGTCTATCTAGAAAAAATGAAGTTTATATATATATATATATATATATATATTATATCTCCAAATATAAGTTCATACATTTGTATTAATGGAAACAAATTTTTCATTCCCATTTCTCATTTAAAACCATAGAAAGGAAAAATAAAAACAAAGATTTTTTTTTTTAATATACTAATCATCTTAGGAAGATTTTAAGAAGTTTTGTGAACTTTTTTACTCTTTTTCCTCTCCTATCTTTTTAACAACATAATTAGAAAATGGAGAATATTATTTATTTTATGGTATATAATTACTTAATTATGATATTTTTATATAGATAGAAAGTATTTATATATATATATATATATATATATATATAATAATTGATTTTGTCTTAAAAAAATTTAGACGGTTAAAAAATGAGATATGTATAAATTATTATTAATTTTTATGAATAAATATTAAAATATTATTTATAATATAGTTTTTCTTGTTGAATTATGGTCATCTTATTAGTATTAGTATGTATTATATATTATATAAGATAAAAATCTTAATATGAAAGGTGTTTACTATAAAAATATATATTTTTTGCAAATCTTAGACACAAGAGGACTAATGACGAAGAGAAGACTCATTATAATTATTTTTTTCGATAAAAATTATTTATTGATAAGATATTAGACATATTTATGATTAATCTTTTAATTAAATTATGAGGTGTTAATAGTAGTTAATTTTAATTATTTTTAAATTAAATAATATTATTTCCTTTATAATTTTAACAATTTTCTAGAATTTAATCATAATAATTAATTTTGTTGAGATTTTATAAGATTGTAGTTTTTTTGTTTATTATTAAATAATTATATTTAAATTAAATTTAAGGAAGATGATATGTTATTTTAGATAAATAAAATTCTTATAGCTATTTTATTTTAAAAAATTGAGTAATTTTTAAAAATATAATTTATTTATTTAATTATCTTTAAAAAAATTATTTAAAATTATAATAATAACGATAAAATTTTGGATATCAGCGATAATATTTTTTTTATTTATCTTAAATATCATAAAATTATATACTCCTTTCAATTTAGATATATATTTTTTTCAAATAAACTATTTTGACTATTTCAATATATGTAATTTAGATATTTTATTTTCAGACTCCATTAAATTATTTAGTAATTTTAGGTTCTTTGGTTAGAATAACTAAAAAACTTACTATAATTCATTTTGAAATATTTTTTTATAATAATTGATATATTGTTTAATAATTTTCTTGATTACATAGAATTGTCTATAAATATTCTTTTATTTTAAATCTTTTGTTCTTAACAGAGCAATAATTATTTCTTTCTTAATAACTCCCTTAAATATTTAAAATCTTTGATTAAAAAGACTATTATTTTGAAGAACTGAGTAATAATTTTTCTTATTT